GTGAAAAGTCATCTGCGCTCAGAGGCATAATTGCAGCACATTCTTCACTTGAATGCAACAGAAGCAGTATTTACCTGCAATGCATTGTGTGAGGCAACGACATGTAAACATCCTTGCCTGCTGCTTTTGCAGCTAAAAAAATGCTACTTAACTACGTATTTGTATTTCACCCCCCCCCCCCACCTCAAGTCCAGATGTTCCTGTAAATTCATTATCGTGTAGTTATGTTTTCTCTTTTTAATCATTTGAGCAGCACAGTGGCTGACTGGTTAGCACTTCCTCCTGGCAGTACTAGCGTCGTTGGTTCAAATCCCAACCATGGCACCACCTGCCTGGAGTTTGCATGTTCTCCCTGTGCCTGCATGGTTTTCCTCCGGTACTCCAGTTTCATCCCACACTCCAAAGACATGTTGGTAGGTTAATTGGCTTCTGTCTAAATTGTCTCTAGTATGTTTGAATGTAAGTTATGGACCTTAGATTGTACGCCCCTTGAGGGTTAGGGACTGATGTGAATGTACAATATATATGTAAAGCGCTGCGTAAATTGATGGCGCTATACAAGTACCTGTAATAAATAATTAGGGACCCATGCACACAGGGTGTTGGCTAACCTCTCCTGAACGCCTTTTCGCTTCTCAGCTGCGTTTTGCAAAAAAAAAAAAAAAAAAAAAAAGGCTTGACATGTTTAAAGTGGAGTTCCACCCGTTTTTCATACTTTACCTGATTATGTTGTCCCTGTGAAATAAAGAACAAGTTGGATATATTTTTTTATTTAATATACATACTTTTAAATCTACTGCAAACCTGCAGTTCTGGTCCCGGCCGCCTAAGCGATGACGTCGTAAGGCGATTTGCAAGGTCTACTGGGATGTTGTTTCCTGTATCCCAGGAGTCCTTTGGTTTCTTGTACTCGCAGGACTTGGAAACGACGCAAATGGGAGGAGTTACGTGCCATTTTACTGGAGTCCAGATTATGGGAAGACGTGGATGCTGTATCCTACACTGTGCTGTATGCTGGAATTGCTGAGTGTGTACATCGCGCTGAGCAGTGAGAACAAGTGGTGTATGCTGGGATAGCCAGCAGCACCGATTCCCAGAAATAAATACCTGCCGGCTTCAGATGCCCACAGCCATCATGGCGCCTGTCTGCTTCCAAGATCATAGTAAATACAATGCTTTTACTATTGAATTATCCCAATTGTTAATGCTATTTGAAAGATCATCGTGGATCTGAATTTACCAAACATTTATTAGGGGGACTGGAGCTCCGCTTTAAGCACTTGGTTGTTCATTTAATTGGCCAGAATTTTGCCCCTTGAAATAGATTAATGTTTAAATGCTTGACACTCCTAGCATTAGTGCGTGTTTATACTCATTTGCATGCATCAAGGCTTTTTTCTGCCAAAACTCAGTTGCTCTTGGATGTACTGGCAGTGAGGTTTTTGTCTGCCTCTAAACCTCAATGTATGCATGGACACACAGGATAACACGGAGGAGCATTTAAAGGCAGAAAAAAAACCTGACAGACACCCCTTAAAGCAGCATTAAAAAGTCCAGTGTACCTGAAAAAAATTTGTGCATAAAATATAGAAGACAGCGCTAACCTACTTCCAGCACAATCAATGCTGTGAAACACAAAAATGCACACCATAGTGCAGTCATACAATAATTGACTACTCAAACTATATAACTTAAACCCCTCTTATACCACTATTGCAATATTCAGCAAATGAAAATATATAAAGTGTACAAAATGTTAAAAAAGTGCTGCTGTGCAATAAATAATCAAATCATACAATTTATATAACCACTCGTACAAAGAAGTGTGAAAAATATTCAACAATCAAGTGTGTAAAATATTAACAAAGTGCTACAGTGCAATAAATATTCCAATCATACAGTTCATATCACAAATTATAATAAAATCCACTGTGATAAGTGTATTGCATGAGCCAGCATATATATATAAAAGAATGTCCACCATAAATTGCACAATTCATGTATCTTCTCATGCACCACCAAAAAAAAAAAAAGATTGTGTGTTTTTCCACCACCGGATAAATTAGATAAGATAAAAAAGTGCAGCGCTAAAATCAGTAAATTAACATAATAGTAATATAGTAAAAGTAATAAAAACACCATGATGTAAAGATACCTCTATCAGTACGTAAATAGCAGGTGACAGCTTAGTGAAAAGTGATCATTCTTGGGATAACTATAATAAAGGATATAACCGTCCAGATAAAGTGCAAAAAATGTTCAAATAAGGAGCCAAAGTGGTTATGTAACCCAAATGGGAAATCATGTATCAGGTGATAGTTCCAAATGGATATAATCAGATGAAAGACCTCAATCTCCCAGTGTGAACCAGTAGTACTCCGTTGATATGCGATAAATAGTAAGATTGCACACTCACCGGAAGCGCAATCTTGATGCGCATTTATCATGTAACTCTGCCAGCGGTCTCCTCTTAGGTACAGTCTGGTGTGGGATCACCTCCACTGTGGATCTGGGTGTTAAGGCGACAGTCAGAGGACCCCTTTTAAAGGGTTAGCTGCAATAGGGTCTGGTCATAAGATTCCCTCCTCTGGTCCGGAAAGAGCACCTGGGGTGGGTTTAATTGTGGAACTAGTCTGTTGTTTGTGGCATCCACATCCAGCACAGGTGAGCTTATTATTTGTATGAGCTCACCTGTGCTGGATGTGCACAGGTGAGTGCAATCTTACTATTTATCGCATATCACCGGAGTACTACTGGTTCACACTGGGAGATTGAAGTCTAAAAAAAAACCTGGCTCCTAGATTCTGTCCTGTGCTTGCCTCACAATATTTTAGTTCTTGTGTTCCAGTCCCTGAACACACAGGACCCTAAACTTGATTACCACCCTGTATAGCATTCAGTCTGTCCAGCCGCAGCATATTTCAGCCTGCAATAGACTTTGACAGGCTGCAGACAGCAGGGCTTGACACTGGACCTGTGCCTCCACGGCACACTAAAATGCTGGGAGGGACACACTGCAGCTAGACACCACCATGTGCAAGAGTCCTTAGACTAAAGGCCCCTTTCACATGGGGAGGACTCTGTTTGGTTCAGCAGCGGATATATTTCCTGAGCAGAGCAGGTGGATGACAGGTCCATATCCGCTCAGTTTATGCAAAGCAGACACGGACACAGTCTTCTCTCCTCTATGTGCAGCCAGGAGTAAACAGACTCCGCTATCCATTTACACCTGACTGCCCTCTGATCCTATCTGTCTAGATGGAGGACAGACCCCCTTCCGTATTTTTTAGCAGACCAGAGCAGAGGTAGGTGGATGTAAACAGACATGAGTCTTTTTACACGTGCTGGTCCATAGGGGGTGAATGGACCATCTGATCAGGTCCGCCTGAAAAACTGACCTGACCTGAATGGCTATGTGAAAGGGGCGTTTGGTCTTGTTCACACAGAGCGTTTTAATCCATGACCCTTGCAGGGCTGTGTTTACCAGCACAGGAATGCACAAGCATTGTGTGCCTCGCCAATGCCAGCATTCCCTTAGCTGTCATTTGAGACACAACAGCTGCATAGACTGTCTCTGCTCCCACTGTGATATCCATGCGTGTGCATGGCTCTGAACGCAGGCCTTAAGGGGTAATTTCACCTTTTTATGAAAAACAAAAAGGTGAACTGACTGCAAATTTCCTGGTCACCTCTCTGGACCCCTCTGCAAATTGCAAATGGTAGCCAGGATGACCCGTGTTGCCAGTGTAGCAGCCTGTACACTGCAATGTACAGCGCCAGGATGAGTATCCATTATAGTGCTCACAATGGCAAGCACATAGTTAGTCTGGCTGAAAAAAGAAAAAAGTCCATCCAGTTCAACCATAGAAGAAAAAAAAAAGTTAGAATCCTATACCCACAGCTGATCCAGAGGAAGGCAAAAAAACCCAGCAAAGCATGATCCAATTTGCTCCTGCTGGGAAAAACATTCTTCCTGATCCCCCGAGAGACAATCGGATATTCCCTGGATCAACTTTTTGAAACCATCCACTGAGCTGGCAAGAACCAACTTTTGAGGGAGTCTATTCCACATTTTCACAGCTCTCTTTGTGAAGAAACCTTTCCGTGTTTGAAGATTACATTTCTTTTCCTCCAGACGTAAAGAGCGCCCCCTTGTCCTCTGTGATGACCTCAGGGTGAATAGCTCTACACCGAGTTCACTATATGAACCACTGATGTATTTATACATATTGATCATATCCCCCCTTAATATCCTCTTCTCAAGAGAGAATAAATTCAGTTCCTCTAATCTCTCCTCATAGCTGAGCTCCTCCATGCCTTTTATCAGTTTAGTTGCCCTTCTCTGTACTTTCTCCAGTTCCCCAATGTTCTTTTTGTGAATTGGTGCCCAAAACTGAACAGCATATTCCAGATGAGGTGTTTCTAAGGATTTGTACAGGGGTAATATGATCTCTCTCTCTCTGGAGTCTATAGCTCTTTTAATACAAGAGAGGATTTTGCTCTCTTTAGAAACTGCAGCTTGGCATTGCATGCCATTATTAAGCTTGTGATCTACCAGAACCCCCAGTGCTGGCCAGTCAGAAGCATTATAATTGGTATTCACGCTGTCGCTGTGTATTCCGGTGTTTGGACTACAACGTTGGGCATCACGGGCACTATGTGCAGCAAGTCCCAAAGAGGTGGCCAGGATATCTGGAGTTAATTCACCTTTTCATTTACAGTGAAAAGGTGAGGTAAAGCTGCCTATAGATAGATGGAAATTCCACCAGTTCAGCAAGGACTGGCCAAATTTCAATCCATTCACCTTTTTTCATCAGCTTGGTGGCTAATCTACAAAAAAAGATCTTTGGTCAGCCTTACCCTTCAAGTGTAATCTGTTTTATTCCCAATTAGCAACGTATTCCTCATTAAATATTTATTTTTGAAATTCAATTTGTCTGTTTGTTGACAGTAAAAATAGCTTCATTCTCCTTTTGCTTGTTTTTTTTTCTACAGCCATTATGGAAGCAAGAAGTAAAAAGCAGTTTAAATCCAAAAGGACACCTCAGAATACATCTCCCAAGGGTACCACTTTTAGGAAAAAAGGTAACTCGCTTTATTGAACTTATAGTAGAATCTGACATTTTTATATCGGATTAACAGTAATTTGTGATTTCTGGTGGTAAGTCATTGTAAAGAGATCCTGTTGTGACATGTTCCTCCTTGGTCGCTTCATCGCCTGAGTGTCCCTGTAGCTCTACAGAGACACACTAGTGCAGGGATGTTGAATTCCTATCGCCTGACGCCCAGGATATGCAGTTGCGGCACCGGGCAAGAAGTTTTTTTTTTTTTTATACATTTTGCCCTACTGCAAGCAAGCAGCAGAGTTTAGAGCTAACGGTCTAAAGGCGGAGGCACGCTCCGGTGCAGTCCAGTATGGAGAACACCTGGCTCTGACTAGCGACGCTCTCCGCCAATGGGCAGCGGGGTTTTTTTTTTTTTTTTAATAAATATATTTGTATTTTATATTTTTATTTATTGTAGTAGTCTTTTATTTTATATATATATATATATATATATATATATATATAGTATTTTAATTTTTTTTTTATTGATCTTGCTTATTATTGTTAACTGCATATTATTTTATTAATACATTTTTATTGATATTTATTTTTTATAAAATTATCTATTTTTATTTATTTTGATATTTTTATTTTCTATTTATTTTTGTTTTTGTAATCTGAGTATTGTTTTTATTTTACTTAAAAATTTTTTTATATATACTTATTTTTGTTGGTAATATTATCTGAATATTATGTGCAGATTATTTTATATTTTTTATTTTATTTAAAAAAAAACTTTTAATTTACATTTTTAATTTTTGTTGTTAGAGTTCAGTTATTGTTATCTGCAGCCTTGTACTGTCTGAGTTCCATCCACTGGGAGGGGAGACAGAGGCTGTCCAATCCGTGACACCCAAACAACCAGGCAGTGCTTCTGCTGGCTGATCATAGAGGTGGACAAAGACCAGCACCACTCTGTCCTCTCTATTATATAGGAAACAGGAAACAATGAGTATACATCACTTTCCCGAATGGAAACGGCGCCATTTTAAAAATGGAAAGCATTTGATCACACCGATCTTGGTGTGATCAAATGCTTTTCAGGGCAGAGGAGGGATATGGGGTCTTATTGACCCCAGATCTCTCCATAGAGTACCTATCCTGCCTCTTGCTGTCACAGGAGATGTTCACATTCCTCATGACAGCAATAAAAGCAATTAAAAAAAATTAAAGTGACAGTGCCAAAATCAATAAATTATAATTTAAATAATGAAAAAAAAAAATGTTAAAGCACCCCTCTCCCCCCGTGGTCGTGCGCAAAAAAGAATGCATGCGTCGGTCCTGCATGCATGCAAACAGCAATTGTCACACACACGTGAGGTATAAAAAAAAAAATGTTTGGAAGTTCTACGAAATTTTCTAGCAAAAAATAAAAAATATTAAAAGTTTGTCGCCATGCATCCCCTCTCATTTTTAAAAACCCTAGACATTCCTAAAAGCACCCGTCTAAAAAAAGAAAGAAAAAAAAAAATCAACCCTTTGTATTTTCCATTTTGGGAATTTTTTTTTTTTTTTTTTTTATCAAGACAAGTAGATTGTATTGAGGGACAAGTAGATTGGGATTTCGAATAGGTCCCTTGGACAAGTAGTTTTTTTTTTTTTTTTTTTAATTTCCTTACCCCTGTAGTGACATGGCAGCCTGGGATAGGACTACAGTGCATAGCAGAGGAACTCTGGTATCAGGCACCTGGGAAGTATCGGAAGGTAAAGATTCTACCAGCATCTGCAAAAGAACAAAGATCAGGTGTGAGAGAGGCAGTACTAGTGAGTTTTATAAATGTACTTTACTGTGCAGTGTTTTTGGTACTTTTTTAAGTTGTGACAGGGCTTCTTTAAAGGCTAATCAAAGATTAGTACTGTTTTATGCTACAAAAGCACGCAAGTGTGAATGGGGCCTCAAGATTTATAAATGGTCATAAAAAAGTCTCTCTATCCTTTTTATACAGGGCTTGGCAAATTTGCTTTGAATCTAGGAGCCAGTTTTTTAAATCAGCTGCCCGGAACTGTGTGTCAGAAAGAAAATAAAGTATGTGGGCAGACAGGCCAGGATGACACAGTGAAAGTGTAAGTTTACCGTTACAGAAAATCTGTAAAGTGCCCTTACACTGGACCCCTTCTCAATCTCCCCCTGTTCTGTCACTGACAGGATAGGCTGGATGGATTCTGATTGTTAAGTGCCTCCTGTCTGTACACTGAGAGGAACAGATAGGAGATTAAGCCGCGGGGATTTCAAATCCCTGGATCCGTGAAGCGCTGTCCTGGTGCTTGACAGCAGACGGCTGACAAAAGCCCAGGTGCCAAGACACTGTTTCCTGTCACCATGGTGACCTGGCGCCTGGGATTTGCAGAGCCCTGCTTTTATATGTCTTGCACTAACAAGAGCTGATAAAATCAAATCAGTTGTTTTCTAGTTGTGTTTGGCTGTATATTTGTTGGTTCTGAAAACACAGCCTGTATACAAGGATATAAGTGAATTATTTGAATCCCTCTGCCATCTTCCTCAACGTACTGTACATTTCTCTTTCGGACTGTGAAGATATGTTTATACTTTGTGAAATTAATTGCAGTTGTTACTTTACTTGCCGTCGAGGGCTTTTTTGTTTTTCATCCACCCACATTGGTGCAAATTGCCATGACTCCCCTGCACCCTGTCGCAAATACCCAGAACGTCAGGGTATGGAGGAGCATGTGGTCTCCTAGCAGGATGCAGTCCTTGGGTCTAGTGTTGCCTGATAAGGACAAAGTCCTCAATGGAGTTTTTACAGATGATTTCTTCTGGAATTGCAGGGAAGGACTAGTAAAGGATTCCATCACTTTGCTCAGAATAGGTAAAGTGTCAGATTATTTATTGATCGTTCTTTAAAGATCATACTGTATTATATTTTATGTAGATAAAAATATTTCCTTTTGTCATCCTTTAGCATTTGGCTCCCCAAAAAATCATGGCAAAGATACTGCACGGAGTCCAAAGGGAAATACTAAAGTAAATAAATTTGAAAAGGGCAAGAAAATGGCTACCCAAAAGGGAGGCAAAGCTGGTGTGAAACAATTTGCATCCAAGAAGGCAAAACAGGGAGATGGCTTTACAAAGAAAAGGAAACGTTCAGCAGAGGACCAAGAAGGCAGTAAGTTTGGACTACATGTGTTCTACTGGCTAGGACTTTGGTGATCAAATTATTTCAGATTCAGCTATCTTTGCAACTCTGAAATCTGCTGTCATTGTATATCATGTATTAATTGTGAAAATTGTGGACATTAGTTTAAATACATACGTATCACTTCGTTTGGTAAAACTTAATGTAAAGCTAAAGGCAAAACTTTTTCGTTTGGATACAGCAAGTCGGAGTTATAATACCTGTCAGGTGTCTGTGTGTTTTTTTGTTTTGTTTTTTTTTGTTTTTTTTGTTTTTTTTAATTATTGTTTCCCTTTACTTCCTACCAAAACAAGAAATCTCTCCAAGGTGAGTAATTTCCAGTTGCACCATGCTCTCCGGAACTAGTGTCCCTTATTTATAAATCGGAACTCCAGTCAAAACTTTGTTTTTATTTAGTTTTCGTTTAAGAAGGGATGGAACCTCCTGTGAAAACATTTTTTCTGTCTGTATTGCCATTAATGTGATTTGTGTCCAAACTGGAGCAGACAGGAAATGCTTGGAATGGTTTTGTCATCTTTAGGAAAATTTCCTTTCACTAACTGTTGGATTGAACTGAAAGAGAATCTAAACCTTGCTGATTATTGCGCAAACTTGGAAAAAAAAAAAAAAGTAGGTTGGAAGGGCATGCACATATTAACATATTATAATCTGTAAAACTGAAGTTATTCTTTAAGACACTGCTTTGTGACACGTAGGAAGCTGGTAAAGGCAGCAACAGCAAGACAGCCAAGCAGCTAGCATTTTAATACATATTGAGATTTATTTCTCCAAGGATGTGTTCATAAAAGGGATGGTCAAAATATGTATTGTAAAATAACTACTAAGCATCACTGTAGCCTGAAGCAAATCTAAACCCAGTAACAGAAAATTATTATATATTGCACCTTACCAGTCTTAAAATATGGTGGCTGCAACAGTTTTTTTACTTTTCAGAACATTTTCATATAGACTCAAATCTACAAGAAAGTGTTAAAAAAGATTAACATAAGGCTATGTATGGTATAAAAAATGACAGAACTTTATAGAAAATAAAAAGGTATGTATCCCTATGGGTCATGTCAGATCTGTCCCTTTGTAAAGTCTGTGTAAAAAAGTTTTGGGTGCATTTTTTAGAATTTTGGTGCAAAAAGTACTACATCAAATACATTTCGGGAGCATTTGAGAGACATTAATAAATGCACCACATGGTTGCACACTGCAAGTGTGCATGGGTGCCATTATTAATGAAACCCTCACCCATCTAGAAAATGTGTATGCGTTTGTTGCCACCACACGAAAACGGTGGGTTAGCTGCGCTTTGCCCAAAGAGCATTCCTCTGGAATGAATGCTGAATATAAAGGCTTAGTTCACCTTTTGGGCTAGACAGCTACAGTGTATTTATACAGCTTTACAGCTATATTTACAGTATGTTGTAACATGAAACATGGTCACAATCCTCAACCTGTTTATCCAGCCCTGTAATTGTATTAATGTGAGTGCATTTATTATACTTTTACAAAAAGTGGATTATGTATTTAATTTACAAGTTCCTGTAGGTCCTTTGGCACAATGTCTACCTTATTTTCCATTGATATTCAATGTATTGGGAATGAAATGGGTATTATTTAATGATTGATCTATTAAGAATAAAAATGTATGGTGTAAGGCCTGGTTCACGCCTATGCAGTTTGCTTTTGATCGGTTTCTGCAGTGCTTTTTGAGGTGCATTTTGCATATGTGTTTTTTTTTTATGCTTTTTACATTTTTTTAAAAAACGCACTGCATGCTTTTCTGCAGTGGTTCAGTTGAAGTCTATTGAACCAAAAACACACTGTTTTAATAAAAAAAAAAAAAGTCCCTGAACCTTTCCAACAATGCAGAAGCTGAAAAAAAGCATAGATGTGAACGTGTCCCAAAGGAAACCATGTTAAATGGACTGTAGTGCGTTCCTGCAAAAAACACCAAAAAACACATAGGTGTGAACCAGGCCTTATAATTACTATTGTCTCAAGTTACAAAAATGATGTGCTGTTCAAAGAAATGTAAAAACAAGTTGAACTTTTCAACACTTAAAAATGGAGTGAACAAGGGGTTAATTTCCAGTGGACAGAGTGTCATATTTAACCATTTGCTGGCTCGCTCACAGTAAATGTACTGCAAGCTGGCAGCTTCAGATACCGCAATGTACTGACAGGCCTTCTTAGGCACACAGCAGTGCAGATCGGTGACTGCTGTGCCTAGTGGATTGGTCATAGCGATCACATGATTAGAATGTCAACAAAACAGTAATGAATTGCTTCAATTCATGACTATTTTGCTTAGTATTGTCATGCTTTGATTGGTTCACAGCTATCACATGGTACCTGGGCTAATCACAGCACCCTGCACCATGTGATTAGCTGTAGTCAGTCACAGATCACAATAGTAGTCAAGCTGTCATAATTGAACGCCATTCTTGACCACTAAAAGTATTGCTTATAACAGTGATCATCACTGTTATAAGTAATAGTGTAAAAAAAAAAAATTTCCTGATCACCCCAGCCCGTAGAATAGTACACCGTTACTGGTGTCAAGGGTGACACTGAACTACTTTGAGGACAGGATGGAAAAGAAAGCTTATAAAAAGAAAAAAGGTTTAAGAAATTGATAAATATTTATATACAATATCTATTTGTATGAAATAAATTATTAAAATTTACGTACAGTGCTGCGTGACCGCACAATTGCCTGTTAAATTAGTGCAGTGCTGTATAGAAAAAATAAATGGTCATGAAGGGAGTAAAACCTTTTTTTTTTTTTTTTTTTTTTTTTTTTTTTTTTTACAATGAATTTTATTGCAGAATAGAGAACAAAGAAACAGTCAGAAACAGATGCACTGAACAACAGAAATAAAACATACAAGTTTTCTGATAAATAATACAGGGAATGTACTGATGGATAGACAAGGAAACAAACTTAGTACACAAGCGCAATATATAAAGAGGGAAAATAAAACAATAAGTTGCAAAAATGGTAGACATTTAGATTTTTTTTTTACAATTCTATTATATTATAGCAAACCGTCTTAATTTAACCTTCTTTTTTACCACCTTTTTGTGGATTTGAATCTATATAATTGTGATCAGTTACAGTCTTACATCCTATATTGTGCATGAGACGGTGAAAAGGTGTTTTTTCTTTTATTTTTTTTTGTTTAGTGTTAAGAGCATTTTATAGCAGGTACAGAAATTATTTCAAGAAAGTATAAGCGAGCGCATACACATAGGATATTTATATAATACTGATTATACCAGATAGCCGCTAGCACTGAAAGGGTATGGGTAACAATCCTTGGTAACGTAGTCACAAAACTGAAGAGTGCAGCCCTTTCACAAATTATGTAATCCTCTATATATGTATATAGAAAGTGCACAGTAAGTATAAAGTGCTATACGTGCAAAACTGTGCAATGTGCAATCAATGAATATCTATAATCTCCGTCTAATATCAATATATGATAATTCAAAATAGAATAATTATTATTGGATACACAATTTAATATTAAAGTGCTATTGTGCAGTCTGTGCAATAAGTGGAGATAAAAAGTCCATAATCATCATATGTATTCAAAAGGGTATAAATAAACGAGAATTTCAACAGGAATAGTCCATTCAAACGGTAAATCCTGTGCAAAAAGTGCAATGGTGCATGTGTCTTTAAAAAATTATCCACCACTTCTTATGGGTGCGCACTCACCAGAACCCTGATGTATGCAGGCATTGGTTACAATTCTGTCACATCTGGGTGCAGCGGTGGTAGGACAGCTTAAGGGTTAATCCAGCATCCTCTCAGTACCAGTGGTGCGTGCCTCTTTTAGATCTAGGGAAGATTTGCTCAACCACAGGAGCCAAAGGGATTTCTCATATAGTTTAGTTTTTATTAGTATTCCAAGGTAAGTATACATCAGCATTCCACAAGGAGAAATAAAACAAGTACCGAAAATGGCCGCCGCTGCTTGCCTAGGAGTCAACTGCGTGACGTCAGCAATGTGGCTCCACCTAACGCGTTTCGTGCGATAGCACATCCTCAGGGGTACGCCCAAGGTACAGAAATTAGGTTGATCTTGCAAGCACTGCAATACCCTTATCACGTCTGTGAACTAAAAAGGCAGCAAACAGTCTTATCTTGTATAAACTACTCATCCCATCAAATCATCATGTAATGAAGATGAGCAAAGGCAGACATGTTTGAAATTGAGCGTGGGTGACAACCATGGTGCCTCCCATAGACACAGTGGAGAAACGAGTGTAGACATGAAGGGACAGAAAGTGTAAAGCCTAGTACACACAATCAGAAACTCGTACAAAAAAAATACCGCTTTCGAAGCAATCGTGTGATAATCTGATTGTTCGTACACACTTTCATCCAAAATTATTTGAAGGCACAAGCATGAAAATGTTTCTTGTACGATATGAGATCATATGATTTTCGTTTAATCAGTACAGTTTGCTTCTGAAAATACAATACAAATACATTATTTCACTTCCGAGTTTTCTTTCTGTTGTACAAGAATTTTCGTAACTTTAATAACCTCTTCACTTTTTGATATGAGACTAGCAAATAAAAAAAAAAACAGATGATCATTCGCCTAATATTCTCATCGTGTGTATGGTGCTTTTTTTTATAGGATTACTAGGTGAATATCTAAGGACTGATGAGCTCCAATATATAAATGTTTTAGGTTTAGATATTCTTTAATGCTTTACTGTAAAATATTAGCTATTTTTTTTTCTCCCATAAAGAGTTTATCTTATAGGGCCACGGTAGCCAAGCAACTAAATACATCATTGATACACACATTTTTAAAACAGATTTTTACTGAACACCGGCTCTCAAATCAGTCACATTAATTGTTACATTCTTATGCAATGGTGGCTTTACCCAGTGATAGCACTGGCATTACGGTGCCTGCCTCTTCACCAGCAATAGCTACATCAGCATGTTGGGGAAACCCAATGCCCAATGCTCCCCGTGCCCAGTGCTAAAAGTCTGTTCAAAATGACCAGAACAGATGTTTTCCTTTTAGCTACCTACATAGTCATATGTTGGTTGGTTAGTGCTGGATCCAATTGTAAAGCTGGATCCTAGTTCTGGGTGAGTTCCGGCCTGCCTTAAACAGTGATCACTATCATTGGAAGCCTAAATTTAGCTTGCAGTTGGCATGTGGCAACTCAATATAAGGACACATTTCATGCAGTTACTTGAATAAAAAAAAATTCAGGGAAGTTGAAGAATACACAAGTGGATAAAGGATTATTTTATATATTGGTTTATACAACACTTAAAGCCCAACTGTAAGTCTTTAATCCCTGTGAATGGTGTTCTCTGCTGCATTCTCTTGTGAGCCCAGACTGCATGATGACACACCTGCAGGGAGTGGGTTCAATAACACTGGCATCATAAAACCCACAAGAGGAACAGTACTGCAGGATGGAGGTGATGGTCCTTAAGACATATTGGACAGAATTTGAGTATTGCAGCAAAAGTTACCTTTTTATTATAACAGCTGATATTGAAACAACATTTTTATTTATTTTTTTTTTTATACCAGGAGTTGGATCTAAAGTTTCATTTGACCTTTATTAAAGCACTGTGTTTCTTTTAGATACTGAAGCCAAGAAGCCAAAATGGGAAGACTTCAAAAAAAAGAAGAAGGAATTAAAACAAACCAGGCAACTCAATGACAAGAGTAACTATGACGTCATGACAAAGTCCAAGCAGATTTGGGAATCAATTAGGAGGTACAGAAATTTTTTTTCTTATGAAGGACACGTTGGCACAGATGAATGAATCTATACACCCATGCAGTAGTTTGTGTTTATTCACCTAGGAGGTATCGATGTTTACTGCGGGGCCGATGCACAGATGCAGACATATTGCATTCATAGTTGTCAGTTGCTCCTATATTTATGTACACACAGGGATGGGCATGAAGATCAAGGAAGAGCCTTGCAGCCGTTCGCCTATCATCTATTCTAATAGGCTGGCTGCAGATGGCTGCGTGTAACATCTGGGCCCTAAAAAAAAAAAAAAACTGAATTAAAGAACTACTAAAGAAGTCTATTTTCAAATGTGATTGTATGAGGCGTCTAAAGTGGAACTTAAATTAAAAAGGATGAACAGGCAGGATTTTAATGCAGAGACATGCTTTTTCTCATCTGTTAAAGTTTCCTACATGCCTGTCCACCTGTGTACAGTGAGCCACACATGCTCAACTCACTGTACAAATTCAGCAATGCCGAATGAAAGTGGCCCACAATCGAGACCTGGGATCTCCGGGATGCCGCATGGTGGGTCCAAGGTGAGTATAATTCCACTTTAGGAGCAGCTCTAAGCACATGTTAAAATCTTCATTTTATCCAGTAAAAGCACCTGAAATGCCCCACCTTTTTCTTTTTGCTCTTTCCTGACCTGTATCTGCTTTGTGATTTGAAGTGTACAGTAGGGCAATTGTGACAATATTTCATAATGTATCAGTTGTAAAGCTGTTAAATGTGTAACAAACATCACTTAAGATACAGAATGATAACTATTATTTTCATCTATGCTTATTCATCTAATGCAAGCAACATTTCTTTGTTTCCTTTTGACAAAATAGTAATATTGTTGTACTTGAAGATCAGCACTGTTAGTTTTGGTACAGAGAAGTTAAAGATATAAGCACAGCCCAAATACACTTAAATAGAATAGTATAAACACAGAAAAAAATGTGCACTTAATGCAAAAAGAGGTAATGCAGCAACAAATATTCCAGACACAAAGGAATTACAAAAATAATGAATCTAAAAAGTGTGCAAAACCAGTATCTGTGTAGTGATCAATACAAAAATCTGTGTGTGAAAAAATTAACTCATATTAAACCTTAATAAATTGTGCAGCAAATGAATGGTGAAAATAACAGTCCATAGCATATAATGTACTTATGCATAACAAAGAAGTAAACTTCAAAGAGAGATTCAAAATTCCAAATGTGAAATCTTGAAAATGATGAAAGTCCATGTGTAAGAATCCCAAACCACCTCAAAGAAATGTGTGCCAGTTCCCTTAGTGGTGGTCCACCAGTTGGAGATTTCTGTGCTGTTGACCTCTTATCATTTGGAGATCATTATTGTTTGGTAAGAGAACTGGCACATTTGTCTGTGAGGTGGTTTGGGATTCTTGCACCTTGACTTTCATCATTTTCAAGATTTCACGTTTGAATTTTAATACATTTCTCTTTGAAGTTTACTTCTTTGTTATGCATATGTTATGGCACTGTTTTATTTCACCATTATTTTGATGCACATTGTTTATTATGGTTTTATATGAGTTACTTTAATTTTTCTTCACATACTTTTGTATTGATCACTACAGAGATATTGGTTTTGCTTTTAGATTAATCAGATAGGATGCAAAGATTCTGCATTTAGGTAGTGTACCATGCAAGTGAATAGATAAATAAAACACATGCAAAATGCACTGTATGTGCACTTTACATGTACTGTAAAAGTAAAATATGTTTGTCAACTAAAAAAAAAGAAAATTATTTTTTTGAAAAATAAAAATTTGAGCTAGCCCTTACATTAAGTACGCACAGAGTGTTTTTTTTAATCTTGGCTTGTAAATTAAAATATAAAAAGTATCACATTCAACAGGCACATTTAAAGCTTTGAAGCTCGCTAAGCCCATTTGAGCTCTGGCGGTGAATGTTATAGTGGATCATTTATCAATATTTACACTTAAAGTGGTTCTGAAAGATGTTTTACCTCAATACATTCCCTGCATTAAAGTAAAAACATGTTTAGGTATTAGTATCCCCACCCCCCTTTTTATATTTACCTTCAGTCAATCCAGCGCTGTAGCCATTTGTAGCAGCTCTCCCCACTGTCACAGGCTTTGCTGAGGCAGTGGGAGCCATTAGCTCCTGCTGCTGTCAGTCAAATCCTTTGATGAGGTGGCAGGGCTGAGCCACACTGTCTGTGTCTGTGGACACAGGCAGCGGGGCTCAGGATCAAGCCCACAGGTATGCCACAATAGGAAGTAGCTTCCTGAGCTGGCACACCGAGAAGGTTAGGAGTCAGGAGCTCCGGTGAGGGATACCAGAAAAGGTTCTATTGCACAAAGCAGATAAGTATAACATGTTTGTTATTGGGGGGAAAAACATTTATACACACACACACGATTTTTGGCTCTATACACCACCACAATGGATTTGAAACGAACAAGATGTGCTTTAACTGCAGACTGTCAGCTTTAATTTGAGGGTATTTACATCCAAATCAGGTGAACGGTGTAGGAATTACAACAGTTTGCATATGTGCCTCCCACTTGTTAAGGGACCAAAAGTAATGGGACAAAATAATAATCAAATCACACTTTCACTTTTTAATACTTGGTTGCAAATCCTTTGCAGTCAATTACAGCCTGAAGACTGGAACGCATAGACCTCATCAGACGCTGGGTTTCATCCCTGGTGATGCTCTGCCAGGCCTCTACTGCAACTGTCTTCAATTCCTCCTTGTTCTTGGGGCATTTTCCCTTCAGTTTTGTCTTCAGCAAGTGAAATGCATGCTCAATCGGATTCAGGTCAGGTGATTGACTTGGCCATTGCATAACATTCCACTTTTTTCCCTTAAACTCTTTGGTTGCTTTTGCAGTATGCTTTGGGTCATTGTCCATCTGCACTGTGAAGCGGCGTCCAATGAGTTCTGAAGCATTTGGCTGAATATGAGCAGATAATATTGCCAGCAGTCACAGCATCAATAAATACAAGAGAACCAGTTCCATTGGCAGCCATACATGCCCACGCCATGACACTACCACCACCATGCTTCACTGATGAGGTGGTATGCTTAGGATCATGAGCAGTTCCTTTCCTTCTCCATACTCTTCTCTTCCCATCACTCTGGTACAAGTTGATCTTGGTCTCATCTGTCCATAGGATGTTGTTCCAGAACTGTGAAGGCTTTTTTAGATGTCGTTTGGCAAACTCTAATCTGGCCTTCCTGTTTTTGAGGCTCACCAATGGTTTACATCTTGTGGTACCCTCTGTATTCACTCTGGTGAAGTCTTCTCTTGATTGTTGACTTTGACACACATACACCTACCTCCTGGAGAGTGTTCTTTATCTGGCCAACTGTTGTGAAGGGTGTTTTCTTCACCAGGGAAAGAATTCTTTGGTCATCCACCACAGTTGTTTTCTGTGGTCTTCCGGGTCTTTTGGTGTTGCTGAGCTCACCGGTGCGTTCCTTCTTTTTAAGAATGTTCCAAAAACAGTTGTTTTTGGCCACGCCTAGTTTTTTTGCTATCTCTCTGATGGGTTTGTTTTGTTTTTTCAGCCTAATGATGGCTTGCTTCACTGATAGTGACAGCTCTTTGGATCTCATCTTGAGAGTTGACAGCAACAGATTCCAAATGCAAATAGCACACTTGAAATTAACTCTGGACCTTTTATCTGCTCATTGTAATTGGGATAATGAGGGAATAACACACACCTGGCCATGGAACAGCTGAGAAGCCAATTGTCCCATTACTTTTGGTCCCTTAACAAGTGGGAGGCACATATGCAAACTGTTGTAATTCCTACACTGTTCATCTGATTTGGATGTAAATACCCTCAAATTAAAGCTGACAGCCTGCAGTTAAAGCACATCTTGTTTCGTTTCATTTCAAATCCATTGTATTGGTGTATAGAGCCAAAAACATGTTAGAATTGTGTCGATGTCCCAATATTTATGGACTTGACTGTATGTGTGTGTGTATGTATATATGTATATATATATATATATATATATATATATACACACACACACACACACACGTTATAACCATTACTAAATCACAATAAATGTAAAGAGCTTGCTGCTACATGCAAATGCATATAAAAGAAAATCAGAATGACAACGCAATAAAAAGACTAAGATTCACCCTTAATTGTATCTCAGTGAGATTTTTGCAAGCTCTGAAATACTACTGAGCTGAAACACTTTCAATAAAAAAAGCACACCCCTACCTTCCCTATCCCTACTGAACTGATCTTTAATAAAACTTCATAACTGAGGTGGTTTCTTACCTCTGAAATACAGCTGTGTCCTGCTCAGAGACAAAGCTTTGTTGTCGTCCCCTGGGCCAAAATCCTCTTCAGCACTAACCCTGACTGAAGATGCTCAGAAGATGGCCCTTTGCAAGTCCTGGACTGAAGACCCAGTTGAAGAGCGGAAGATTCTCGCCCAGAGGATGCTGAAGACATTAAAACTAAACTCCAAACAGATGTATAAACAAGACCAGTTGCTCCAGTTGTGTCATTAAAAATCACTAAATGTACCTTTAAATGCAACTGGTGCAAGTACCTCAATTTGACTTGGTAGCAGCCTCTTGTAGTTTCCTTCACTCTAGAGCTTACACTGGAAGAATGAGCAGTACCTGAAGCCAATCAGGCATGCTCCATACAAATATGCTGACAAGGAGCATGCTGCTGCCAATTCACTGTCTTATTCACAGCCTGGGACAGGGAAGTAACAAGCCCTGTGCTGTTTGGCAGGGTTGTGTAAATTCCATGCATGGATGGACAGAAAATAGAAAACTTATATATACTTTAAGCTAAACTCCAGGTATTCAGCAACTTTGTGTGAAGGCATAAGGTGAGTTAAGCTCAACAAGGTGCATGCCACCTATTGGACTTTACTCAATTATTTACATATGACAGGTTTATTGTGCTCCAAAAAGATAGCTCCTATGCTTGATGCTGTGATCTCAACTCCAG